TCAGATTTGCTGAGGCACCCAGAATGCTCTCAGGTATCAGACTACAAAATATTTTGCATTCACCAAAACCCTCAGAGATGTGTGCAAGTCATAAAGAAGGACTATAGGCAATATTTACTTCTTTATTTCCCACCAAATTACTGAGCATTTTTTTATTTAAGTATAGTCCTGAATAAATCAGGTGGCAATCATATTTCACATATAGACCGTAATACCATGGATCTTTAACTCAGTTTGGAGCCTTGAAGACTGACTCTTCTTCCCTCCTCCCTTAATTGATTTTTAGTTTTTATGTTTAGAAACATGGATATTCACATTTTAAGATGTATTTAGGAATTTCTCTTGGTCATACTTCCCATCATTCAGGGCTGGGATGTGTATTGCACCTAGATACATGCAAACTGCTGAAAAATGAAGTTTTCAATACACAGTAACTTCACATAGCTTCTCTAGAACAAACACACAAAACAGACTCATGACATTGTAAGCCTCACCAGAATTACTAAGAAGCAATCAGAATTTTTGAATTTCTTATTCAGATTTCATATCCTTACCTAGTGCACAACGTAGAAGTACAAATATTGGGTTACTACTGAACAAACGCATGTACAAGGCTCACTCAAATCTAATTATTCCATGTAATTCAGTAATGAAATATTTAAAGTGTTTTTGAATAAAGTTGATATCAGAAGTTCACTCATTTCTCAGCAATAAATAAAAAATGTTAATATATATTTCACTACATTAAAAATATGATTTAATATATTAAAAGTTTTCACTGTATTAGCACATTTCAAAGTTCAGGAAGACTGAACAAATGGATCAACAGACTCTTTATACAAAAAGTAGTACCAGAAAAAGCTCTCTTTTTGTTTTCAGAGGAATGAAAACTACACAGACTGTTTTAAGAGACACGTTTTCAACTTGAACTGCTCCCTACTTATCCTACTCTAAGAAGTCAGGACCACCATGATAGCTCAAAAAACCTTAGGAATTTAAGGTTGAGTAAAAAGAATAAAAACTATTGAATTATTTAAGAGTATCAGATACTTTTTTCCCAAAGGTTTGTTTTATGGAAAGGAAAAAAGCTACACATTTAAAATGAAGATTTTTCAGCTTTCTTTCTACAGCATAAATGCTTCATTTATCAGAACAAAGCAGTTCTTCAGGTTCCCAGAAAGGTCTCTAACTTCTCCTTATTTTCAGCATAGGTGAACCTTATAGTTCGTTACTTTGACTCTGGAAACAAAACAGGTACATAAAAAAACCCAACACATTATTAATCCAATACAGAAGGAATCCACATCCCTGCATCGTGATTTGTAACCACAACCTAAATTATATGAAAGTGAAACTGAGTAGAAAGAGTCGTAAAACAGATGCTGTCAGTATTCTTAATGCTCAATTCACTAATTCTTAATGCCAGATAAACATCAGAACCAGCAGTTTTTGAGAGTAACGGCCTTCAGAGACGTTAAGGCACGTCACTGACATGCTGTTTGGCTTCCGAGTGGACGTTCTGGGGGCCTGGGAAGGGGAGTTGCCGACTCCGAGGCCTCAGCTGGAACCAGAACCGCTAGCAAGGCGCTCCGGTAAAGTTTCAGTCATAGGGCGAAGCCTGGTTTTAGCTGGGGTCACCCCTGAAAACACCTCGTACGTGCCGAAACCCCTCGCCAAGCGCTGGGCAGCGCCCAGGAGAGCGGGCGCCAGCAGCACGGCCCGGGCAGCCC